CTCTGCCATTAGCATTGTTTGATCTGGTGGCTGTGCCAGGAAAAGGTGAGGGTCACGGGATGGCAGGCCAGCCAGCGACCGAGAAGAAAAAGGCTTTGAAATTTTTCTTATCGAAAAGAGTCCACAGGCTTCCAAGAACTGTGAGGGTCAGAAATGGGTGGGCGTGGGGAGAGACAGGAGTGCAGAAGCCCAAAGCTAAAAGAAGCCTCAGAATTCAGCTAATGCAATCTCTCCAACTCAGCACAGCTTTGCCAGGACTAGTGGAGAGTTTAGATTCAATAACAAGAAGAATAGTAATACCAGGCTGCCACTCTGAGGACCCACCGTGCACTGGGGAGCTCAGCTGCTGTCTCAGCAAGGCTGGGTCAGCATTCCCTTTTAAAGATGAGGGAACAGTACTCCTTGCTCAAGACCTGAGCATGGAACTCAGAGGTCAGGAATCTGAGGGGCTCTGCTACATTCTTATCTTAAAGACCTTGAGTATGTCCTTTACCTCTGAGAGACTTAGCTTCCTCCTCATACAGGGAGAATAATGTCCCTTTTCCCTGATATACATCTTTGCTGCAGAAACCAAATGTGGTGACGGCTGAGAAAGGAACTTAGTACCAGAAATGCACATTGCAGAGTGATGCTGATTAGAGAGAAGGCACCTAGCAACTATCTCATGAGGGGAGTGATCATCCCTGCTATGAGTTCTCTCCACAGGAGTTGCCAGTTAGAGGATCAATCTGGTCGCTATGCAATGGCCAGCTTGCTTGTCTTCTGGTTGTTCTCCTTTGACCTAAGACTCTTAAAGCTCTGTCCTCGCAGCAAAACTGTCCTCTCCTCTGTCCCAGTGTCTCAGCATCCAAACCCCTGTGGCCGGTAAGTCAAGATATTGGGACAATGTGCAGCTTAGTTTGTGTGATGTTCCAGGGAAGGTGTCATTCTCCTGGCTATGGTAGCATGTAGTAGCACCCTTCCAAAGATCCTATCAAGGGATTTGAGGTATGAGCCGAGGGTCTTTTTTGATGGTGATGGCCATCTTCCCTCAGCCATGCCACATGGGAGAGTGAGTGCCCCAACTCTTGGGGTCATTGTGGATGAGTCACTTTGCCCCCCTGATTTTCCACTTCTCTGTCTGTAACATGGGGCTGATCCCACCTCACAGGGCACTGGGCAGATGAGATGCACCACCTACATGCTGCTGCTGGTTCTGGGACCCTACTGCAGGTTTGCTGAGCACCTTCTCCCCTTTAGGTGTGAGAATTCAGGTCTTTCCCCAGGAGATATCTCCCAAGAGAGATGTTGAAGAGAGAAAGACCCCAGATTTAGGTCTCAGGTATCCCCTGCTCACCCCCATCCTCAGATCCACACTGTGAGGTCACTTACTGGATTTTCTTTGTGAAGTTCTTGGAAACAATGCCTCCTTCTTGCTGCTTCTCTTCGTGTTTGCCTGGAAGAAAGAGGAACATGACATATCAGCATCTGTGGCCCAGATGTGGTTCAGGACGGGGGCTCAGATTCAAAGGCTGCTTCTGGCCCTGCCTCCCCATGTGACTTCAGTATGGTCTGGAGACTTCAGGGCCTGAGCCACAGTGACCCCATCGGCCTGCCACAAGGACACAATGAAGCCCACCTCCCAGGCTGGCTGTGAGGATAAGCTAAGACAATGGACAGGAAATGAGACTTTGACCAGGGTTTCTTGACCATTAAACATTGGTTTAAGGAAATCACAGTCACTAGGCCATGTGTTGTATCCTACCTTTCTCATCTCTCACCTAACTCCTTCTCTCTAACCTGCCAGCAGAACCCTGGGGCTAACATCCCCAATGGGGTAGAAGAAAGAAGCGGAGTAAAACTACCTATCAAGGGCTTCCTGTGCATGCACAGAGCCCTCTCCTAACTCTAAGGATGAATTTCTTTTTCCTCCTTCTTTTTGCTATTGGGACTCATGATGGCACCAAGGTCATCCAGCCCCTCATGGCTGCTTTGGACTTTGACTCAGCCCTTTCTGAATCAGGTCCAAGTCTGGGACCTCATGTCCCCCGTCCTCAGATTTCTGTCCATGTCAGCTACTGATTAGCTTTTTCAGCCATATCATCTGTACCTAGTAGTGAACCGACAGTCCAGAAATAATGCTTCAATCTGCTAAACACACCCATCCTCTCCCAAGAGAGGTCCCCTTAGAAAGGGAGGCCCCAAAATCGCAGATGTGAAATTCCACCAGCCCCACCTCCTACAGGGTAGCAGGGAAGGGTCATACAACCCCCTTAGGGAGGGAAAAGATGAAATTACAGGAAGTCTTGAGCCCAAACTAATTTTTATTTTGCAATATAGCAAACTCAGATCCTCTTGGCGCCTCTCTCTCTCTCTCTCTTTCTCTCTCTCTCTCTCTCTCTCTCTCAGAGAGGGTGTCTCCAATTTCTCTTTAAACAAACAGGATTAGTGCAGGGAGGTGGTGGAAACACTCAGCTCCAATCCCTTTTAGATCCTCATTTAGGAGGCCACATTCCAGAGCCCAAGAGCCCCATTTATACACTGGAGCCCTTCTGAGGGGCTCCAGAGTCCAGATTATAAATAACCTTGTGGGTTACAAATAGCCCAAGGATTATAAATAACCTTGTCTTTATGCAATCCAGATTTTTAAAAACTGAGAAGTTATAGGTGATTGCATTACTAATTATTTTGGGAAGAGTAATATTCCTTTAATAACTTTTGGATTGTAAGATAATATACATGTACATGAGAAAATACAGAAGATAAGGAAAAAATCACAACCACCCTGAGGAAGCCACAGAAAAAAGAGTAAAAACGATGATTTCTTACATGCTCCAGAATTTCGTTTCTGTTTCTTAGAAGTGCATAAGTGTTATATACTTTAGATTTATATCACATATTTATCAAATGGGATAATTCTACGTATTATGTCAAAAGCCATTTTCCTCTCTTGCTAACACATCCTATTTGTTCATAATACCAAATACTCTTTGACAACATGATTTTAACAACTATACAGTGTCCAACTGTAGAAACATAGAGTAGTTCATTTAGTCAATTCCTTATTTTGAAGCACTGAAGAAATTTCCAACGTGGGAAAGAACATCACTGAACTGAATAGTGCTGCACCTAGATTCTTATACTAGGCCTAATTACTGCCGGAGGGTTAATTCTAAGTTTTAGAGTGTCTAATTCTTAGTCTATAGTGCTCAAGTGCTCTTTATGAAAGACTGTACTGATTTATTCTCCTATTAGCAGGGAGGAAGGGGTACATTTATGGGAATTCCTTTTTAAACTAAAGTGTCTGGTGACCAGAGCATGCTATTCTGTTAATGTGCTGCCACCCCAAGAGCTTATTGTATCCTGCCAACTCTATGACAACCAACTTCCCTGCTTCATCATGTGCCTGTGTCCAGAAAGCACTATCTGTTCCTGGTCCCTCCCCAAAGCCTGTGTCCCTGAGGGCCTGCTTCCCCTGGGGACAGGCCAGTGCCTCTGACTCAGCCCTTTTGTATCCTGGAATCTTTCTACATGTCTGGTGCCCTGAGAATCACGATGATGATGATGATGGTGGTAAAAATAATAATAGCAAACTTATACAGACATTAACAATGATTCAACTCACTATTTTTCAATTTTGCAATGATGCCTTTTTTCACTTTCAGTGCAGTGTTCAATAAATTACATGAGACATTCAACACTTCACTATAAAATAGATTTTGTGTCCCATGAATTTGCCCAATTGTTGGCCAATGTAATGTTCTAAGCACGTTTAAGGTAGGCTAAGCACAGCTATGATGTTCAGTTAGTCGGGTGTATTAAATGCATCTTGACTTTCAATATTTTCAGTTTATGATGGGTTTATGGGGATATAATGTGATCCTAAGCCAAGAAGTATTGGCGTAGAGTTGATTTGGTGTCAGCCACTGTTCTAAGCACCTTACCTGTAGTGATTCCTTTACTTTTCACCACATTAGAAAACAAGTACTTTTGTTATTATCATTTTGTGACTGGGGAAACTGAAGTTTGGAGGGCTTAAGTGATGTGGCCAGAATCTTATCCCTTGGGAGTGCTGGAGCACGGATTCAGAACCAGACGTTTCCAGAACCTTTGGGTTTGGATGTGAATCCCTGCTCCGACATTTCCTAGCACACTTCTCCTCTTCTTTGAGCCTCAGTTTATTCTTCTCTAAAACAAGGGAGATATCTTACTGGACTACCGTAAAGAACAAATGAAAGTGAGTCACAGAATTGCTATGTGAGTTGTAAAGCAGCTGTATGAAGGTGGCCTCTTGTGGTTTACTTTGATGTTTAGGGAAAGCCCTGAACCGGAGAAGCCAAATGTCTCTGTCCGTGCTTTGAAGTTGGGGTTTGGGGTTTAGGAAGGAAAGGCCTCTAAACAGGAAGGGCTCTGAGATTGCCATAGGGACCTCTGGGGAGGGTGATAATCTAGTTGAAAGAGAGGCAGATTATCCTGAAGCTCATTGGTACATTATTTCCATACTTTGATTATTCGGGCAGCTTTTAGATTACGAGTGATTCTTAATTTCTTATTTTGCTTTCCAGTGTTCATTTTATACCACAAAAATATTTCCTTTTTGTAGGCAGAGAAAAGTAATAATTGGGATTGGTAAAGAAAGTGTCACCTAGAGTCTGGGGAAAGAAGAACCTCTCTGCAGCTGCCATTTTCTCCACATGGTTTGGAGAATTGTAGGTGTCAGGAGCTGGCAGCAGACTGGTGAATGGGATTGGCCCTGCTAAAGAAGGAAGGCTCTGTTTCCAGGAAGGATAGAGGCCCTGGGATTAAGGAGAAAGGGTGGGAAAAGACCTTGGGGCTTTCCCGTCCCTTGCTTAGCCAGAGCCTGGCCCAGCAGCCCATGAAGAGAACGTTTCTTGGCTGGTGGCTTCAGGTTAAGGGTCAAGAAATAGGAGATGGCGGGGGGGGGGGGGGTCATCTAGTCCAGCATTTTCCAAACATTTCCCTGGAGCAAGACATTCATATGTACTCAGGTAAGTCTGCCCTTCAGTGATTCATAAACAAATGAAAGTCTCTGATAAGCCCTGCGGGGAGGAAAGAAATCTGTGCATGATTCTGTTTCACCTGGCATCTTCTAAAACTCCGGACTTCCCTTCCTCCATTACTCAGACATCTAACAACACCTTATAGAGGTATTGTTCAGGAAATACTGGCATAGTCCACCTCTTTGTAAACAGACAAGCTCAGGCCCTAGAGGTGGTGGAATTTGGCCAGTGCCACGCAATCAGAGGTATATCAAGCCATCCTAACCCAGAACTGCCCAGGCAGGCCTGCCTTCAAAACTCAGTTACTGCCACAGAGAAACGGACAATCACAGGTGAGTCATTTTGTCTGGGCCTCCTTTTCCTTATCTGTGAAATGGGCAGTGACCCCCCCCCCATTCCTAGAACATCCCTGTGAAGACCCAGTAAACCAACATAGGTGGGTATTTACCACGAAATTCTTGTGGAAGAACAGAGTTGTCATTGTGTGGTACAGCATAGGAGACTGAATCTGTCTTCCAACATCCCTTGGAAATTGCTTTTACATGGAGCCCCTGATATGGATCCTGTTTTGAAAACCTCTTTTAGGAAGGTTCTTGCAGGGGATGTGGATTCTGTCTAGGTGAAGTCACTAATTGCATCTTGACGAGTCTTCATCTTTGTCTTATTTACAGGTGGAGAAGTTGAGGCATCAAGATGTGTCCAAAGCCTCCAGATAAAATTAGGAAGGCTGCCAGACCCCACCTGTGGATACCATGTATCTTCACGGGAAGATGGAAGCAAAGCCCTCCAGAAGGGCCAGCGGGAGTGGGAGGCTTAGAAGCCCATGAGATGAAACTGTGAGTGAACAAGGGCAGGAAGCAAGGTGATAATAGTCACGCTGTGTACAGAGTGTCAGGCAGGCACTCCCATTGGCTCCACTTTGTAAACATTCTGAATACGTTATCATCGGTTGTCTGCATGGACTAAATCTTCCCTACAGCCTTGGAGGATAGGTATTTTTAGGATCCCTCTTCTGTCATAGGGGAAACTGAAGCTCAGAGTCGTGAAAAGATTTTCCTGTCCATGTCTATCCAGCTAATGGACAGCAGTGCTGGGATTTGAACCCAGGTTCCTAGGAGCATCTGTCATTTATTATTTATTGGGAACCTTCCTATGTGTCCCATACTATTGTTATCACAATACTGCTTTTACAACAATAAAGACAATCCTGCTTGCTTGTATTCTAGCACCATGTTTGTATACGCTCTATAGGCATCATCTATTTAATACCACAATCTTTACAGTGTAATCACTGGGTCCCTCATTTCCAGATAAGGAAACAGCTGCCCAAATTGAGTAGTCTGCACATCCTGCTGGTTAGTGCCAGATCCGGTGCCTTTGGGACTCTTGCCTGGCTCCCCAGCCAACTCAGAGAGCCCTGGCTGACCCTCCTCTCCCCAATCCGCATGTGGTCCGTGGTCCCTGTGTCTCCAGACCCACCACACCCGAAGCTGCATGGATCCTCTGATGTTTATAATTCTGCCACCAGTAGCTTTGAAACTCCCCCTGAACGGTGCCTGCCTGCCTGCCTGCCTGCCAGGGCTTGTCCCAGCCCCAGCCCGGCTAGTGTTTGGAATGGCTTTTATTGATTTTCCAGCTGACAGGCCTCTGCCAGGAATACAGGCTTTTTAATGGAGCGTTCATTGGGAGGGAAGCGAAAGAAAGCTTTTGTGCCCTCCTCGTAACAGGGCCTGAGCTTCCTGTCTCTCTCTTGCCTTTCCCCAGAATATGGAAGCCTGGGCCCTAGCACCCTGCACAGGCCTCACTCCTGCTGCTGACTCATGGCCTGACCTTGGACAAGGCCCTCCCTCCCCTCAGCCTCTCCAGCTGCAAAATGGATCAGAAACCCGGGCTACTCAGGGCTGGAAAGAGGATTATTTTGGAAAAGGAATGTAAGAACTTTAGCTCAGAAGCAATCATTAACTCTGTTCTGGCCTCCCAACCTCCAGGCAGTGGGTTTGACCCCTTGCCAGCTTTGAGTGAGTTACTTTAACCTCTCTGGGTCTCAGTTTCCTCAAGGGTAGAAAGAAGAGACAAGTAGGACCCACCTCCTCTGGCTGTATTGATTGAGATGTTACTCGTGGAAGCTTGGCATGATGCCTAGCAGACGGTAAATGCTCAGCCAAGGTTATCAGTTGTTTCATTATCATTGCTATTAAGCCTCAGTTTGTTTATCCAGGGTAAGGGGAGGTGTCTTGCTTGAAACTCTCTGGTTATTAATATTATCATCGCTCAACATTACACCTGTCCTTCTAGGCCCTGTGCTGTGACACGAGACTATAATAAAGCCCATTTCTTCTTTGCATTTTTCCTTCTGCATCTGTTTAACCTATTCTTTACATGTTAAATTATCTCTGTGAAAATACCCGATCTGGTTCCTGTCTTTCTTCCTTCCTGGGATGGATACAGCACCCTGAGGCTCCAGCATCTGGCTCAGGTTCGGACTCCTCCTGGGGCCTGGGACAGGAGAGCTTTTCCATAAAGATAACTTTGTGGGCTGCATTCCTGAGCCCTGAAGTCACCTGTGTGTCAGGGTCCCACTCTTTCTCTGGGCCCTTCCCAGGGCAGAGGCCTACACCCCCTCCCCACGTGCTCTCTCACTCACCAGACACCTCCACGTATCCGTCCTTGGTCTTCACCATCAGCTCCTCCGGCTTGAAGCTGTGCACATTGACGCACACTTTCCAGGGCTCTCCAGGGAAGGGTGGGGGGCTCCTGCCCTCGGCAGGAACCCCAAACCTGGCTGCTGCAGTGGGCCCCCGGGGCACCATCCCCGACCTCAGGGACCCAGGCCAGGCAGAGGGCAGACGAGGCAGAGCCCAGTCAGGCCAAGAGGCGGTCAAGTCATCAGGGAAGGGGTCCATGCCAAAGCCGTCATCCAGCAGGCGGGAGGAGAGGGGTGAGTCCCGGAAGGGGTCTCTGCGCAGCCGGCTCGGGTAGTGGCAGGAGAAAGGCATCTGACCATCGGCCATGGCGAGTGCTGAGCTCACAGTGGAAACAGAGGCTCAGAGAGAGCGAGCTACCTACCCAAGGTCACACAGCAAAGCGAGGTAGGAGGGATGGCTTTCAGAACTTATTTTTCAGCTTCAGGAAAATGCTGATCTTCCGTCGGGGAGAAGCAGAACCATCCACTGCCAAGAACAGCTGTGCTCACCAGGCTGGGGTCTGGGCCCCCAAAGGTGAACCCCCAGCTGGTTCCACAGAATCCGAGAGGGCCTCTCTCCGTAGGGCCTCAGCAGAGCAGTAAGTCACCGTCCTCCCAGGCTGCCCAGGCTCCTGGCCAGAACTGCGGAGGTCGAGTGGATAGTGGAGCCAGGAGCCTAATAAACCTCAGAGACACTCACCTAGAAACTTCTCCTGGCTCCTGGGCTGGGAGCCTTCTATTTATTTGCTGCTGGGGTCTGGAGGCGGGTTTTGCTAGCACCTCCTGTCACAAGAATATTCCAAGGTGATGAACCAGCCCCAGAGAATCCGCTGAGGGAACAGCTGAGCTCCCAGAGGGGGCTGGGAGGGGCCGAAGCCGCAGCATCAAGTTCAGCCAGCCTCTCTGGACACTCCTCCCCCAGGCTCGGCGCAGCTCCGCCTTCCCTCTCCTCTTCGGAACCTCCTCCCCAGGCAGGGCACTAAAGCTCTGGGCTATTAATAACCCTTGCCTGGCTGAGGGCTCAGGTCACCCTCTGGAAATACCTTCCCCAGAGCATGTTGCATCCTGCCTCCCCCTGGAGACCCGCAGAAGGGGATGACAGAGACGGGACGCAGGTGAACTTAGAGGTAGACAACCTGAGGTTCGAATCCCCACTTCCAACCTGGTCAGAGTCAGAGCAGGGTTCTGAGCTTTTATAATTTCAATTTTGAGTTATCTGAGAGTGACAAACAAAAGAAGTATGCTATCTAGATTACCCTGGTTAAAGCACAGCTAGGGAAGGGAGATTTTACTGGGCAGAGGAGCTATAGTGATAGAAGCAATGATTGTAGCACTGAGATTCTGCAGTGGGGGGAAATATTGGGATCAACTCCTAATGCAGCACTTTACCCTAATGCACTTTACCCTAATGGATAAAGTGAGAATTTGTAGCCAAAGAGCAGGATGAGGGTAAATGGATGGAAAACTAGGGGATGGATGGGAGGGGTGGGGGGGATTCTGGCTAAACTGACCTAACAGGATTCTTGCTTAAGACAGACCAGGGTAATCAGAATGCACCTGGGGGATGGTAAAGACTGAAGAAGCTGATCAGATATGGAGGGTGAGCAGATATGTAGGGGTGGAGGTTGTTGCTACATGGTCTTAACAGGGTTCTTGTTAAAACTGGATTTTACAAGAAAACACACTGATGGGCCTCCAGAAAGGTTCAGGAGCCTGACCAAAGTTTGGTCAAGCTAAGAATCTCCATCAGCTGTAACATTAATCCCAGGCATCTCTGAGCTGTCTGTTTTCCCACCTGTGACATGGATATGAGAGCAGCTTCCTCGTGGGTGTGTCTTCAGGATACATGAAGCCATCCTCAAGTAGCACTGAATGAGGAATGGGTGTTTTTATATTTTCAATTTAAGGTTATCAGCTACATAAAGATTGTTCTAGGCCGGGCCCTGATGTAAGCACGTTATGCATATTAACTCCTTTAATCTACCCCCATGACTCAGTAAGGCAAGGTTTTCCTACTACTACTCCATTTTACATCAAAGAAACCACCACTGGAAGTGTTAAGAAATGATAGCTTCTGTTTTTATTACGACTGCTAATAATGATAATTATCCAGATGTACTGTACCCAACCAGGGTGTAGGTTCTGAAACTCAAAGCCCAGACAAGACGCATTTTCTAGATTTCCCTACTCCTCTATGGCACTAGAAGAATGAATTTACAACTAGGCTTGGTGGTGCATACTTGTAATCCTAGCACTGAGAGAATGAGGCTAATTCCTTTGGCCAAAAGGCTTGGGTTTGAGTTTTAATCTTCGCTCTGTCAGCAGCAAGTGGGGAACTTTGAGTACACTATTTTCCCTCCGTGGCCTCAGGGTCTCAGCTCTGTCAGCTTCAAGGGGTGGTGGTGGGATGGAGGTGTTGAGGAATTTCATGAGTCACAAGTTGAGAAATTGCTCTGATGTGAAGCAGTGCTTTCGTGAGGGAGGTTGCTAAAAATAATAATACAGAGAACAACAACCACCACGTTCACATCTCATCTCCTGTGCGTCGGCCACTTCTGAGAGCCTTTGCAAACAAGGCATTGAAGCTCTCAGCAATATCTTTATTACTGACACCCCACTTTGCAGGCGGGGAAACAGGTGCAGATCCCTGGGCCTCTCACATAGGTGTGGGAGGCAGGGACTGGGTGGGAGCGTGGGTGGTTCTGGAGCCCAGATCTGGGCTGAGCTGACTGGGGAGACCCTGACCTTCCTCATCTCTAGCCAAGAGTGTCCCCTCCATGTGACACGTCCCGAGGGACTGGGCTTCAGGGCAGGGTGGGGTGAGCTCATCCAGCTAGAAGCTTCAGGCTTATGTCATGGCTGGGCACAGAATCCGAAGCTCTCTGTAATTACAGTGGGGCAGGGCAGCAGGCTGAGAGCTTGACGCCAGTTAGGAGGAGAATCACTGTATGAGTCTCAGGAGAAATCTGGCCCTGCCTGGGACAAGGAGTGGGCTGGGTGAGGTTCCCGTGTGGGTGGTGTGGTCTGGAGTAAGCGTTTGTGTGTGTGTGTGTGTGTGTGTGTGTGTGTGTGTGTGGAGCTGAGCGGTGAGCATGTGTTTATGGGCGGATAGGTGGACGGACTCTGTGGATCTACTGGGAGCCTGTTGGAGGGCGTGTTCTGGAAAGTGTCCCCCGCCACCCAGACCTCCCTTCCACAACTCCAACCTGAAACTCTCAGGAGACCTTTCTGCCTGGATTGGGGGACCAGAAAGGTGGGGAAGCCTTGATGACCTCCTCCACCTTCTCATTTCAAGGCCAAGGGGAGAGGATAAAGGATGTGCAGGAGGGAAATAGAAATAGCAATCATTAGCATTATGGGGCCCTTGCCAGGTGCTGGCTTCTTTAAGCCTAAGCACTTTAAAAGTATTCTTCACCATCTATTCCTTCTCAAAATCCTATGAGGAAGGGACTTTTGTTATCTCCATTTTACAGTTGAAGAAACTGAGGCACAGAGAGTTTATATGACTTGGCTGTGTCTACATATGTGTTTAAGTGG